TTACTCACTTATTAAATACTTTGCAAAAGTTTGTCTTTAAAAGCTATTCATTTCACTACATTAATTTTTATTCCCTCTTCAAAAGTCATATATTCAAGTTTCAATATTAAGGGAAAAAAATCCTCGCCATTAAGCAACATCATGGTAGATGAAGAAGAGTCTGAAGTTGTCAACTATCTCATTTTGCTTGGATCCACAATCAACACCCATGGCAGTAGCAGCCAAGTATTCAGAAGATGGACTGCACTGGGAAAACCTGCTGTTAATGACATCTCCAACGTGCTAACGAGCAAGAACGTCAGTTTAAAGGCTAAAGTGTGCCTGATTTAATCCATGACATTTTCAATTCCTTCAAATGCAACTCAAAGTTCGACACCAAATAAGGATGACAGAAGAAAAAGTGATGCCTTTGAATTGTGTTTAAAACATATTGACTAATCAACAGACTGCCAAAAGAACACACACTAATCCTGAGGAAGTACAGCCAACATGCTCCTTAGAGGCAAAGATGGTAGAACTTGGTCTCATATACTTTAGGCACCAGTACCAGTCAGGACCAATTCTTAGAAAGATATCAGGCTGGGAATGGTACAAGATCAGAGAAGGAAGACCCTCAATGAGATGGACTGACACAGGGACTGTAATGGGCTTGTGCATGGGAGATCGTGGAGACGGTGCAGGATAAGCTTCTGATCTATTGTTAGTAGGGTGGCTAATAGGAGTCAACTGGACAGAACATAAGAACACCTGTGTGGCACAGGTAGTTAGTTCATTCATTCAGCTGCTAACAGGAAAGATGAGAGGTTAGAGTGTACCAAGAGACCCATTAGACAGGCTTGCTGGTCTATTTTAAAAAAAAAGCATTGAAAACCTAGGAGACACAGCTCTACACTGATTCATTTGGGGTTGTCAGGAGTTGGAATTATTACGTTTAACACTACTAGCCACAAAGTTGACCGAAATTACTTTTTACATGCACGGTTTTGCTACAGAAACGGTATGCAATGTTTCACTAAAAACACAATGTTGCAAACGTTCATTAAATGAGCCAAAAGTCAGCTTGAACCTTCCTGGTCTCGTAAATGTTTTGTATTACCAAAAACAATACTTTCTGAATAAAATGGTTCAGAGGAAAATATGCAAGAAAGAAAATGCTAGCAACTTTTTAAAACTTCTAACAGATAAAACAGAGATGAACAGAAGGCAAAAAAATAAAACAGAACCACCCAAACACACAGAACCACCCAAACACACATAACAAAATAAAACTCATTAGTTTTGAATTTGGCTTTTATTTAAAATATATTTCACACAAAACTGTCATGAGAGGGGGGAAAAATACAAGAAATGGAATGTATTTCAAATACCTTTTAAGCCACACATAAAATTAACAGGATAGCTCAGACTCAATTTGTGGATAATAGTCTCCAAAATTAAAGTCATTAAACACAAAATTAGGGTGGGGGGAGTCTTCTCACATTTTTCAATGTACCGATATGTTCCTAGGTGCCTCAGTTTTCCTTAACACATAAAAGACCCAAATTTAGTTGCTTTACTTAAAATTATCAGATTCCACTTTGGTAAAAATTACCATATCCTAAAATTTTCAGTTAGAATTATAAAAATATGAGCTCAAATAAGTATGCTGCTCAAAACAGAAACATCTTAAGTGATATTTCTCAATCATCATATAGACATTGCACTAAAATCAGTAATTCCATTACTGATGTTCATTTATATGGAAATTGTGTTCTTACTACAAATAAACTTACTACAAATAAGCTTATAATGTCAAGCTAATTACAATCACACTCCAAAATATAAAGGCAAAGACAGAATAAAGAATAGTTTAATATTATACCTACATTTTCCACCGTGAAAGAAATAAAAGTTGAAAAAGAAATAGGCTCTAAAAATATTGATACTTTGAAATTTCATAATTTACCTTAAGTAGTTAATGTATATTAAAGTTAACACTGCTAAATCCCTTCCAAATAATTTAGAAAAAATGATTTGTTTGTATAGGAAGTATGTGCATTGTCCTGTCTATAAAGCTCAATTACATTTTCAGTCCTTGGAAATAATCTACCTTCAGTAGAAACATTCAAGACAATATACAAAAAAATAGATCTTGTACGTATAACTTACAATGCACAGAAAAATATCTACAAAAATGGATATATTTATCCATTTAGTTTTCTAATAAATTAGTGAGGAAGTTTAGCCCATTCCATATTTCTTCCGAAATAAAAACTAAATAGTTAAGAATGGTGTACTTCTCTCTCTATTAGCCTGACATTTATTTTAAAAATATTTGCCTGATTATATATGTAGGTTAAGTCAGCATCTTATTTTTATATCACAGTTTACATGGCATTTCTTAATTTAGCAACAGAAAGGCACAATTAGCAAGCAATAAAATTCAGTACCTGAATTATTAAAATGATATCCAGAATAGCTGCAAATAAAGTACATTCAACACAGTATACAGAAGTGGAAAAAAAATTAAAGAATCTAAAATCGAAGTTTTCTGAAGATTTGGTCCATTAAAAATTCCTCCCATGTTCAATATCATGGGCAACATGGAAAGTGATGGCAGTGTGAAAAGAGGCAGTAAATTAATATGTGGAGCATATATGCTTTCTGGTCTAGTAATTTATGCAATTCAATTAGGAAACGGCTCCCATATAAATAAATGCTTAATATTATCTATTAATAATAACATACCTGTAGTAAGTCCAAATACACAGGCACAACTTTTTGCATATTATTAATTTTATTAACAGACCCTAACAGGTTTTTAAAAAACTTACATTTATTTTTTTATATATAAAATATATTAGATATATAATGCATATTATGTACCTTAATATATATTATATATAACTTGAACCCATAACAGCACAAAAGCTCTCCAAACATTACATGAACATTCTAAATGGACACTTATTTTTTCAAAAGTGAAATAGTTCCGCTCACCTAAAACAATATCTGGATGTGCAATGATAAAATGCACAGCTCTCATGAATTTACTTAAACAGTTATTTAAGTTAAATTCCTGCAAAAGCCTAACTCTGATCTGGCTTTTTCCTAGAATATTTTCAGATATCATTAACTGATATCCTTTTTTCTTATCATAAACAGCATTTCTTAATCAAGAGATACCAATAAAGAAAAATATGTAAGGAACCAAACATGTGATCGAGAAGCCAACCATTCCATAGGTAATATACCGATACGGAAGTTCAACTTCCATGTGCTGCCTTGCTTTGCGAATATCATCACATGGTATACTGAAGATTTTACAGGCTAAGGGAATGGTGATCTTTTTCATTGCATGTCTGACTAACAGTGTAAATGCCATCCCTATGAGGAACCGCAACATGGCTTTTCCAAGTAGAGTTATAGTAATGGGAGGTATAGTTAAAGGCAATGAATCTAAAGGAGGATCTACTAATAGACCCATTCTGTAAGTAACATGAGACCCACACGCAATGCCAGCACCACTGCCTAGAATCTCAGCCGTGTCTCCTCGAGATGTACTCCAGGTGTCAAGAGTGAAGGAAAAAATTCCCAGGGCTAAATGCAGCCCAATAGTGATAAATGGAGCATATTTATGAGTTTGGTTGAAGTTGTCTAACAGGTCCACAAATGGATAGAAGACAGCGAAGATTAAAATGGTATATAGGAATCCAGCAATGACATCCTGAGAAAAGAGAAAAGTATAGTTACTTACAGTAATAACATTTTTGACATTTAAAAAAAAATTGCATTTTTTTAACACTGTTCAAATACAGAATGGAGTTATTTTTTTTTTATTAATTTCAGTTAACATTTACAGAGATTTTGGATTTCCATTCATTCATTGTTGCAGGAATGGAGTTACTTTTTAAGGTAGCTGTCAAATTCTCAAAGATAAGTTTTCTAATAAGACTATATAACAAGTGAAATTATAGTAAAAAAATATATCAATGTTTTCATAGTTCTATGCTTTCATCTCAACAATGAATAAGGAAGACCAAAGAAGATTTGAGGTCTTGGAATTGTGATACTAGTGAAGGGTACCGAATACATCACGGACTGTCAAAAGAACAAACAAATCTGTCTTGGAGGAAATGCACCCAGGGTGCTCCATACAAGGCAAGAAGGGTGAAACTTGGCTCTCACATAATTTGTGCAGGTTGTCAGGAGACAAAAGTCTTTGAAAAAGAGTATTATGCTTGGAAAAATGGAGGGTCTGGGAAGGAGTGGAAGATCCTCAATGAGAAGCAGTGACACAGTTACTGTAACAATGGCCTGTCCATCACAGAGATTGTGCAGATGGTACAAAAATAAAGCAAGGTTTCAAGATCTATTCTTCTTAGGGCTGCTATGAGTCACAGTCAAATCAACGACGCTTAACAACAACTACCCTGTCATAAATTAACCACATACATAACAGAGACATATCTATATTAAATACTTGGTAATAAAAGTAATACACTATACTTAAATTATATACTTTTGATTTCTGGGGAGAAGAGTACAATATACATTTTATTTTACTTGGATCCACAAACAACACTCATGGCAGCAGAAGATAAGAAATTTTAAAAAGTACTGCATAAAGCCATTATTGTAGAATGAGTATGGGGATCCAAGGGAAGAGAGGGTGGAAGTAGTCATACTATTTCAGACTGTTTTTTATGGATCTTACTTAAATAAGAATAATGAAGAAAGAAGATCGAAGAAGAACTGATGATTCTGAATTGTGGTACTAAAGAATATGTAATAGCCCATGGATTTTTTTTTTTTTTTAAATCTGTCTTGTAGCACATGCAATCAAGGAGCTTTTTAAAAAAAATTTATTATCTTCTGTGTGTGTGCCATCAAATCGGATCTGACTGGTACAGGAGGAGATTGCCCCGCCTTCTCCAGCAGAGCATCTGGTGGATTTGAACTGCATACCTCTGGGATTGCAGTGCAGCTTCTTGCCACTAGGCCACCAGAGTCCCCTTGGCAATCAAGGTGCTTTTAAAAGGCAAAGATGGTGATACTCGGTTGCATATCCTGTGGGCATGCTGTCAGGAGGTACCAGTCCTTAGAAAATGACATCATGCTGGGAAAAGTAGAGGGTCAGTGAGAAAAAGGGAGGTGGACTGACATGCTGACTGCTAGAGTTGCTATGAGTTGGAGTCGACTCAATGATAACAAGAAAAGGATTTTTTCAAAGAAACAATCTTCATTTTCATGTATTTCAGTATATAATTATCTCCATCTTCAAAGAGGATACAAAGTTTGAACAAAAACTGGATAGCTTTCGGTACTCATTCATTCCTCAAATATTTACTGCGTATCCATGTATATGCTGTACGTACTTGGCACTCATTTAAGAGCGAAGCATATACTTTTTGTCATTATGTGCTATCGAGTCGGGAATGACTCATGGCTAACTCCAGCACATTTTGAGAGGCAGTAAAATGCATGGAAGGAGACTACCCATCTTTCTCCCCCAGAGCAGCTGGTAGATTTGAGGCATGTGTCTTTGGGTTTGTAGCACAGCTCCTTACCACTGGGCCAAGAGCAGCATCATGATACATGGAGAAGTGATAGAAACTGTCAATGATTTCATCTTGCTTGAATCCACAATCAGCACCCTTGGCACCAGCAGGCAAGAAATCAAAAGACATATTGCACTGAGTAGTCTGTCTGGTACATCTCCAAAGTGCTGAAGAGTAATGATGTCAGTTTGAAGACTAAGATGCACCTGATCCAAACCATGTCTTTTCATTTACTTGCTATGGAGCTGTAAGTCTGAAAATGAATAAGGATAATGGAAGAAAAACCAATGCCTTTGAATTGTGGTTTTGAAAGAGTGCTGAGTATCTCATGGATTGCTAAAAGGATAAACACATATGTCTTGGTAAAAGTGTAGCCTGGGTGCTCCTTGGAGGCAAGAGTAGTGAAATTTTGCCCCACATACTTTGAGTACCATACTAGGAGGGCCCAGTCCTTGGAAAAGGTTAACATGCTTGGAAAGATGGATTAGCAAAGGAGGGAAGATCCTCAATGAGATGAACTGACACAGTGACTGTAAAGGTGGGCTCAAGTATGTTAGAGAAGACGAAGAAGACACAGGATAGGGCAGGGTTCAGATGTGTTGTTTATAGGGTTAGTATGAATCATGGTCGACTTGATGGCACTTAGGAACAAGAAGTATATACTGCTAAATAGGGAGACAGGAGTCTACTGTCATAGAGCTTATATTTTAGTAGGGGATGGCAGAAAATAGATAAGGTACTGTATTATAATTTCAGATAGTTTTATTATGAACAAAATACCAGTACGGGGGGCGGGGGGGGGGACCAAAACAAAAACCACTAACAAACAAAAAAACCAAAACCTCAAAAGAAAACAAAAAGTCCACTACTGGTGAGTGGATTCTAACTCAGAGGATCATGTCTCCAAGGCTGTCAACCTTTACACCTATCTAAGCATGACATCCCTCTCCAAGGAAAAGACTTTCCTAACAACACGTCCAAAGTGTGTGAGTCAAACCTTTGTCATTTTTGCCTCCAAGGATCACTCTGGCTGTATTTTCTCCAAGACATAGCTGTTTGTTCTTTTGGCAGTCTACAACATACCCTTCTTCAACACCATAGCTCAAAGGTATCAATTCTTCTCTCATCCTTATTTATTATCTAGCTCTCAGATGCACAGAAAGTACTTAAAAAGATCTTGGCCTGAATCAGGACATGGCATGCTCGGAAAGGTGGAGGGTTGGTGAAAGAGAACAAGACCTCAACCACATACTGCTGCCGTGGGCTTTGTGGGTATCAGATTGTGAAGACCTCACAGGATAAGGCAGGTTTCAGATCTGTTGTTCAAAAGGTCCCTGTCAGTCATACTTGATCTGATGGCACCTGACAACAACAACTTCTTCTTTCTGCCATGGATTTATTGACAGATTCAAAATCACCAACCATTACGTTATCAGCCCAACACTTAATGTACTACTCCACCAGGGCCAGTGCTCCTAAGAAAAGCACAAAAACTCCATAATAACCAAGGCAGAAACAAAAATAAAAGCAACAAAATCCCACTGCCATCACCTCAACAGCCATCCATTGGGTTTCAGAGGCTGTACATTCTCCTACTTAGGCACCGGAGGGTTTGGACTGCCAGAGACTCACAGCTTCCTAGTTAACAGAGCAACACACTATGGACTACAGCACTGGAGTTCCTTTTAAAAAAATGACATAGAATTAAACTCTTTAGAGTGACTATGAAAGCCCATGTGAGGAGGTGACATGTGAGCTCAGACTTGATTCCAAAAAGGAGTCAACCCTCTTTTGGGATCTAATGGGACAGTGTTCCAGGGAGAAAGAATGCAAAGTGCCAACATGTTGAGACAGAACGAACTTGTTGAATTCAATAAACTGAAGTAAGTCTACTGGGGCTGAAATGGTACACAAAGGAGAGTGACACGATAACAGGTTACCAAGATAGAAAGGGGTCAAGTCACTAAGGGCCCTTACAGGGTAGGTACAGAGTTCTGATTGTATTTTTAAAACTACAGCCACTGAGGGGAAAATGATAGTCACTGCACTTCAAACATGATCTGACTGATACTTGTAAATAATCAGCTCATGTAGAAAATAGACTATATAGGAGCAAAGAGTCCAAGGCAGGAGACCACAAAAAACACTTGCAAGTGGCTGTTGCAGTGGTCTGTTCCAGACATGGTCCATCCATCATATCTAGGTGGAAAATAGTACACAGATGGATTTGATAAAATATTTTAACACTAAAGTTGAGAACTTTAACTAGGTGATGAATTTAATATGGGGATAGCAAAGGAAGGAATTAAAAAAAAAGACTCCTACTTTTAGGTAAAGAGCAATTCAGTTGTCAGTAGGTGCCAGTGAGTAGATTCCAACACATATAACCTTTCCCAAGCCTGTGTCAGCCTCACAATCTCTTCTGTGTTCAAGCCCATTGGTGTAGTCACTGTATCAGTCTATACCCTTGAGGGTCTTCCTCTTCTTTGCTGACCATTTATTATTCCAAGCATGATACCCTTCTCCAGATACTGGCCCCTCCTGATAACATGCACAAAGTATGTTATTTTCGCTTCTCAAGAGCATTCTGGAGGCACTTCTTCCAAAACAGATAAAAATAATAAGCTAACATATTGCTTCTATGTTGTAACAATAACAGCAAGGCATGTGACAAATATTTAATGTTAATTATCATTCAGAACAAATTATTAAAGCCATTAGTGTTAATGAAGATATCAGCTTAGCTAATATATCAACTTAAGATCATCAAAATAATATTTAATAGACTATTATCTCTGCTGACGTCTTAATTGAGCTTTGTTGGTGTAGTTAACAGGGAGTTGTGCTGCTACTCCAAAGGACTCTCAGGGGGTCTGTATCCAGCAGCAGCTCCACTGGAGAAAGACGGACCATTTTCTCCCATGTGATTGGCAGTAGCCACAGAAACCCAAGGGAGGATCAGATATGAGTCAGTTCCTCTGCAACAGCAATGAGTGAGTGAGTGGTATCTCCATGAACACGAAGAGGAGAGCCCTAAGAGATATGTAATACCTACGCACCAGCTAGCAACTTTTGTGGAAGGATCTGCCTTTAATTCTGTGCTGATTTCTCAATAAATAGATGATACAAATTATGCTTAATAGTTCAAAATGCAGGTAACAGCATAAACTTTAAAATACAGAAAATGCCCCAAGATATCAAAATATATTACATATGTTGTTGCTGTTAGGTGTTGAGTCGAGAATGACTCATAGGCACTCTATGAACAACCAATCTCAACAATGTCCTATCCTGTGCCATTCTCACAATCTCTTAATCTCCAACACACTGCTGTGCTCAATGCTGTGGTCACTGTGTCAATCCTCCCGGTGGAGAGTCTTCTTCTCTTCTGCCTCCCCTCCACCTTCCTAAGCCTGATGTTCTTCTGCAAGGAATAACTTCTCCTAGCAACATGCCCAAAGTATGTGAGATGAAACTTCATCATCTTTGCCTTCAAGGAATACTCTGGCTACACCACTTCCAAGACATATCTGTTTTTTCTTTTGACAGTCTATAGGATCTTCAGTACTCTTCTCCAACACCATAACTCAAAGCCATCACTTCGTTTTCTGACATCCTTTTTCACTGTCCACCTCTTAGATGAAGAGCAAGTAAGTGAATGAAAAGACTATGGCCTACTCCTCAATCATTTAGAGAAGTCCCTGACTGCAGACTTTCTCAGTACAATATGTCTTCTGATCTCCCAACTGTTGGTATCAAGTGTACTAATGGCGGATCCAAATAAGATGGAAGTCACTAATTGTCTCAATCTTTTCTCCATCTGTTAAAATTTTGCCAATAGGTGTAATGGCGAGGATTTTTATATCCTTGATGTTGAGATGTTATCAATATTGTAATCCATATATTACACATACAATGCAAAAAAAATGGATTTGTCATGGTTATAATTTGAAATATGACATTTTCAAATTGCAGAGAAAAAGAAAATTATTGGTTTGGAATAACTGGGATTACAGCCCAGAATTATAACTTTTAATGCTAATAAGTTGTCTCTAATTTAATGTTTAATGAAAAGAGAAAACTTGCAATATTATTACTGAAATTCAGTAGTTTATCTGAATAACATTGATGAGGCATTCTATGGGACAAGATGGTTTCTGAATACTTAAAGAGTTATCAGATTAATAATTTTAAAATAATTTATCAGTATGGTTTTATTTCAATTAATCTAAGAACTGATGTTATTTATGACATAACAAACTGAACTCAGCCTGGTTATTTGACCAATCTATTAATGTTTAATTTTTTAAAAGAAAATAATTTTTCAAATTATATATTCAATGTAATTAGATTCTTGTTTTTCCTTGTATGCTCCAACTTGAACACAATGAATTGCTGTTAAGATGTCATTAAAAAAAAACCAAAAAAAGTTATATATCTGAGTGATAAATGAATTCCTTGTATTTGGAGGAAATGATAGTGAGATAATGTTATCGTTGTTGTGGTTAGGTGCCATGAGTAGGACCCATAGCGACCCTATGAACAACAGATCTGAACCCTGTTCTATCCTGTGCCATTCTCACATTTCCTGACATACTTGAGCCCATTGCAGCAGTCATAGTGTCAATTCACCTGGTAGAGGGTTTTGTTCTCCTTCATCGACCAACCCTCCACCTTTCTGAGTAGCATGTTCCTATTCAAAGAATAGCTCCTTCCAGCAGCATGCCTTAAGTATGCACTTTAAAGAGCACTCTGGCTGCACCATCTCCAAGACATATCTGTTTGTTCTTTTGGCTGTCCATGGGATGTTCAGGGCTCTTCTCCAACACCATAGCTCCAAGGCATCAATTCTGCCATCCTAATTCACTGTCCAGCTCTCAGATGCACAGCAAGTGATTGGAAAGACTAACGTCTGAATCAGATTGCACCTTAGTCCTCAAACTGACATCATTACTCCTCAGTAATTTTATACTTCTTATTGCTGTGTACCACTGAGTCAGAACTTCTGGCAGGTTTTCAGATCCTTATGTTGTTGTTATGTGCCGTCGAGTCGCTTGTGACTCATAGCGACCCTATGTACAACAGCCCTAAACTCTGCTCTGTCCTGTGCCAATCACACTTGTCTCTGACACTCCCATCCCGATTATCCCAGTCACTGAATCAATCCACCTCATAGAGGGCCTTCCCCTCCTGCGCCATCTCTCCACCCTCCCAGATCCTTATAGTCATGATAATTACACCAGGAAAAATAAGAATCTGATGACATTAAAAAAAAAAAATCTCAAAAATTTTATTTTCTTTTTTAAAAGGTAAGTGTTGATATTGTGTACTACTGAGTCAGAGTGACTCACAGCTGACCCTCCAGCATGTTTTCAGAGGCAATAAATTGCACTGGAATTCACTACCTATCTTTCTCCAGTGGAGCAGCTGGCAAATCTGAATCAAGTGCCTCTGGGTTGATAGTGTAATTCCTTATCAAAAGGCCACCAGAACAGACTGGTTAAACTGTTAACTTCCCAATAAATTCCATAATCCTTGAGTATTGTCTGTGAGTCCTGTGTAGCCACTAAAAAGGATCAGCAGACCTGGTAGGAGAGCAATGAGAGTCCTAGGAAGAGCTGCTGGTATTAGAATTATCAGGAGGAGATGCTGGGTGCATGGGGCCATGTCTGACCTCACAGGAATTGATTTTGTACAAGGAATGTTCTGGCTGGAGACACTTCCCCCTTGAGTTAGTGGAGGGCTGATGTGATCTCACACCCACCATTCTCACTTTTTTAACAGTACTATGCAAGAATTATCCTCTAGATTTTTGGAAAGAAGCCTCACTTAGCTGGTTTTCAAAAAAGAAAAATGAGGAAGGTAAAGCAGATTTGAAAACATGTGTAATGAGTTGTGAAAGATAAATGGGAAACTTAACTAGACAAAGAGGAAGGAGCAATCCAAGCAAAAGTTGCGTTATTCCTAAATGCCCAGAAGTAAAACAAGAACACAAAAACCCACCAAAACAAAACCCAAACACAAACCACCTCTTGTATTTGAAGAATCATAAATTAATATGGCATATTTGTTAATCTGGGAAAGTCTACTTCACCAGGAGACAGACTACTGGATGGAATCCGGTCAAAATAAAAATAGAGCTCTGACTGTGAAGCTACTAAATAATCTGGTCTAGAGACGATGCAACCCAGAACGAAGGAAATGTCTAAGGCTTTCAGAGGAAGGGGGATTGCAGTAAATAGTACAGCATACCTGTGCTACTGTTTTTCAAACAGAGTAATGCCCCCAAAATAAAATATATTATTATTGTTGTTGTTGTATAAGTCACGTTGGAACTGGCCTATATAGCTGACCCTTCAGTGGCTTTTCAGAGGCAGGAAATGACCTTGGAGAAGATTGCCCATCTTTCTCCTGTGGAGTATGGAGTAGATGGTGGGTTTGAACCATGTGTCTTCAGGTTGCCAGTGCAATGCCTTACCACACTAAGCCAGGAGAGCTCCCCATAGTATATAATGTTTTTGTTATTAGGTAATTCTGAGTTGAATATGACTCATAGCAACCCTCTGAACAACAGATCTGAATGCTGTCCTGTCCTGTGACATCCTCGTCATCTGCAACACACTTAGGCCCACACTGTGATAACTGTGTCAGTCCACCTCGTTGAGGAATAACAGAAGTCCTAACTACTATTAGAGAAAAAACCTACAGTTCAAAACGGAATTATGAACAGGACCAGGATGGCTTAACTTCACTTTGTTTCTAGCAACTGGGTCTTCTTCCTACTTAGAGCTAGCCTTGTTTCTCTTCTTTCCATTTTTTGTTGGCTTTGACTCAATGGCAGGAGAGGAAAAGAGGGAATTGTGTAGGAAAAGAAAACCGACACTAAGTAGCCTAAGTATAATAGATAGCTAATTGTGATGCTGATAACTATTTCTAAAAAAGACAAGATTACTATTTTAAATACAATATTCATTTTTTCGATAAATAAAAATAAAAGACTTATAGTAGTTACATTTTTCCCCCATTTAGGTTCCACACAAGTTTGCAAATGAAGAAAAACTAGAAAAGTATTCATGTCAGAAAAAAAAAAAATTAAAGCATTATGGGTACGTTTTTCTTACCAGAATGGAATGCATTCCCAGGTAAATTCTACTTAGAGACACTAGAAAACACCAGCAGGGGACAAGAATCAGTCCATACACAAGAGGATACTAAAGGGGGAAAAAAAAAAGATTAAAAATTAATTAAACATAAGCACACAAACAAAAACCAAGTCACCACACTATTAAATTCTATAACAACTAGGACCACCGTGTTTCTACTCATTGAATCTCAGCATCTAAGTTCGAACGCAGGGGCCCTGGTGGCACACTAGGTTAAGAGTTGTCTGCTAACTGCAAAGCTGGCACTTTGAATCCATCGGCCACTCCATGAGAACTGTTAAGATGTACAACTCTAGGTAGCTGATGGGGGTTGTCATGATTTGGGATTGACTTGATGGCAGTGGTTTTGTTTGGTTTGTTTACATAAATAAGTGAATGAAAGACAAAGACTAAGCAATTTTGTATTTCTGCTCTCTTCATTATGGAAATATTTTTGCTTTTACAGTAAAGATTCAATCACACACCAGAAGAACACAGCTATACAGGAGATGAACAAGTATTATAAATCCAAAGTGAAGGAATCCCTAACCAGTGCCCAAATCCAGTCCTTTACATTTCCTGACTGCCTGGGGTAGAGGACTTAATCAGCTTGCTTGCTTGCTTGCTTCCACCTCTCTCACAGTAAGCTGCACTTTCTGTGGACATTTCTCCAACACATATATAACATTCAATCTGTAATTTGGCTTTTACTTCTGTCCCTCCACTAAGTTATCAAACATTAACAACACTGAGAATATTTAGTCAACTGTCGAGATCACAAATTTAAAAAAAAAAAAGGGAGGAGGGGGAATCTCCACGAAGTACAGACAATACCTGATGTCAATAGCACTAGTCTAAGCGCTGAATTTGAAGTTCCTCAGATTAGAGCAAATCAGGGAAAGTATGGATCAGTATGTTAGTGAATTTGTAAAAGAAGAAGGAACATTTAAGCGTGTTTATACCTAACGACTTCAGATTCTCAATGAAATTGGAGGCAATGGGTTGAAGAAGTAGGGTTGTGAGAAGAGTACAGAGGATTTAGTACTCAGTTGTTGTGAGTGGATTGCTCTTTTATGTTTAAGATATAATTTATATCATGTATTCTCTGTGATATTTAACCACTTCTTAAAACTCAAAATATTTTTTATTCCAATAGCATCACTCTCAAGAATAACATTAACTTTTTTCATTTTAAATTTTTATTTTATTATTTTCTCTGTGTGTGTACCGTCAAATTGGATCTGACTGGTACAGGAGAAGATTGCCTCTCCTTCTCCGGCAGAGCATCTGGTGGATTTGAACAGCATATCTCTGGAATTGCAGTGCAGCTTCTTGTCACTAGGCCATCATTTTAATGAAAGTTTACAGAGACTGAGGATTTCTATTCAGTCATTGTTGCACTTAATCTCCCTGCCTACCCCTTCCCCCTAGTTCACTCTTCTTTTGAAAAGGAAAAGAAAAATTCTTTCATTGTTACCTAATCCCTCCCCCACCAAGTCCACTCCACTACGCAGCCTTCATTCTGGTCTCCTGCCATGACAAAAATACCTAATCACATATCCCTTTTAAACAGTTTTCTCCCTCATCTGTTTCAATGCAGTATACATTATTGAAGCCATCTTTCTCAGTCTCTCCCCAACCCCAAGGTCAGTCCTGTTTTACAACAGTGGCACCATGCAGTTATTTGTCCTTTTGTGAGCAAGATATTTCACTCAGCATAACGTCCTCCAGGGTTACCTATTTTGTATAATATTGCATGAGTTTCTTGTTTTTCAATGCTGCATAGTATTCCATTGTGTGAATACACTACAGCTTCTCTATCCATTCATTTGTTGATGGGCACCTGGGTTGTTTCCAACTCCTTGCTATTGTGAACAAAGTCACAATAAACATGGGTGTGCATATATCTGCTTGGGTGTCAGTTATGGTTTCTTTGGGGTATATTCCCAGTAGCGGAACTGCTGGGTCAAATGGCATCTCTATTTGGAACTTTTTGGAGAAAGCGCCATACAGCCTTCCATAGTGGTTGCACCATTTTACACTCCCACCAGCAATGAATAAGGGTTCCAGTTTCTCCACAACCTAGCCAGCATTTGACCTTTGCTGTTCTGTTAAATTCTGCTATTCTTACTGGGGTGAGATGATATCTCATAGTTGTTTTGATTTGCATCTCAGAGCTAGGGATTTTTGAATATTTCTTCATGTGTTTGTTTGCCATCTGAATGTTTTCTTTGGTGAATCATTAACATTAATTTTAACATTAGTCTCCTTTGAACCAACTGGTGTTTACTGTTTTGATTTTGGTGTTGTTTTTTTTTTTTATTCTCCCTATGTTTCCCATGTAAGAGCCTAACTTTTTCTTCTTGTTCCTTAGTCATTGATATAAACACAAATTCTGTTCTTGCTAGTAATTGATAACCTCATTCTTTCTCATTTTAAAGCTATTACCTAGGATACTAGGGAGGGAACTCTAGTGCCCTAGTCATAAGGAGTTGTGCTGCCAACCCTAAGGTAGGTAATTCAAATGCACCAGGCACTCTGTGGAAGAAAGACAGGCAATCTCCACCTTTGCTATTCACAACCTCTGAAAATCCACTGGAGGGCCAGCGAGGACTTAGCTCCCACTTGAGTGCATATAACAACAACAAGCTGAAAAGAGCTCTGGTGGAGCTGTGCTACTAACCCAACCTTTCTGGCAGTTCAAATCCATCATCAGCTCAGAGAGAAAATGATGGTCAATCTCCTGTTCAATTCACAGCTTCTAAAAGCCAACAAGAGGCCAGCTGTGAATTGGTTTCAGCTGGACAGCTAGTTTTGAAAGTATGCTACTCATCTGCCTGGGTTTAAAATTCATATATTAAATTCTTGGGCCTCAATATCCCTAATGATGTGAAATCTAATGTAATTAAGCGGAATTCAAAACCTACTATTTAAACTTGTTCTTCCTCTTCTCGTAGTCTTTATCTTATTTTAACAGCATATTCCACATAATTTAAACAATTACAAATCCTATTTATCTATACCTTATTCTTCACATTCAGCCAGGAACTAAGTCCTGCTGACTATAAAGTATTTCCTATCTCTGTCATCTCCTCTCCAACCCTACTTGCATCTCATAATTCCTAGGCTGTATCTAGTTCTATTTAAGGAAAGAAAAGACCAAAATGGATGGTAAAAGAGACTTTGAAACTTAGACTAGAAAGGAAAGAAAACAAAGCAAAGGGAAGAAATGCCGGAGTGAGGTGAACAGAAAATTTCCAACGACAGCTTGAAAACACCAAGTATTACAATAAAATGTGCAAAGAACTGGAGTTAGAAAACCAAAAAGGAAGAATACATTCTGCATTTATCAAGCTGAAAGAACCAAAAACCAAAGTCAAGCCTCAAGTTGAAATATTGAAGGTATTTATAATTCTGAAGATTGTAATATTAGAAATGAAACAAGGAGCATCAAAAGAACATGCGAAGAATACACCAGAGTCGTTGTTCCAAAACCAGTCAGTCAACACTGAACCATTTCACAAAGTAGCATATGACTAAGAACTAATGGTAATAAAGAAGTTCAAGCTGCACTTGAACTTGAAAGCATGGTATAAAACAAGTTCCCAGGAACTAGAGGAATACCAACTGAAGTGTTTCAACAACAACAACAAAAAAAAATGCAAACTTGGATATTTTCACTAGCTGTGCTAAGAAATTTGGAAAACAGCAACCTGGCCAACTGACTGAAAGAAATCTGTATCTGTACCCATTTTTAAAAAAAGAAAACAAAAAGATGATCGTGTTAGATGGTCTGACTCAGTGACTAGGGTAATAGGGGTGGGTGTGCCAGAGATGATGAGGTTGGCACAAGATAGAGTAGGGTTCAGAGCAGCTGTTGTACCTAGGGTTTTTATGTGTCACAAGCGACTAGATGGTATTTAACAATAACAACATAGTGTAGAAATTATTGAACATCCTTAATATCACAAGTAAGCAAAAAAAAAAAACCATTAAAATATGGTTGTAACAGTATATCGACAGAACACTGTCAGAAATGTAAGCTGAATTCAGAAGAGGATATGATACCAGTGTTATCACTACTGTTGTTGGATGGATCTTGGATGAAAGTAGACTATCAGAAAGATGTTTAGTTGTGTTTTACGACAAAAAGTAATTTGACTGTGTGAGTCATGACAAATTATGGGTAATATAGAGAAGAATGGGAATCCCAAGACATTTAATTGTGCTCATGTTAAACCTATACATAGACCAAGAAGGTGCTGTCTGAACAAAGCAAAGGAACACTACATGATTTTAAATCAGAAACAGCATGCTGCTTGGTTGTATCCTTTCTCCATATCAAGTCAACCTGTTCGCTGAATTCATGAAACTGGGCTACATGATGAAAGTGGAATCCTACAGGACTGGAGGAAGACTCCTCCACAACCTACATTATGCAGTTAACACACCTTGTTTGTAGGAACTGAAGACTTGAAGTGCTTACTGAAGAAGACCAAAGACTGTACCCTTCAATACAGATTACATTTTAACATCTAGAAAACAAAAATCTTCATCACTGGGCCAAGAAGCAACACCGTGATCTCTCTCTCTCTGATTGCCATCTAGTCAGAACTGATTCATTGCTGACCCTCCAGCAAGTTTTCAGAGGCTGAATATCACAAGGAAACAGACTGCTCATATTTCTCCTCTGGAGCAGCTGGCGGATTCAAACGACTCACCTCTGGGTTAGCAGCACTACTCCTTATCTACTGGACCACCAGGATACTTATTTACTGGCCCTCCATCATGATAGATGTAGAAAAAACTGAGTTGTTAATGACGTAATATTAGCAAGCAACATCCATGATAGCAGCAGCCTAGATATCCTAAAATTTGCACTGGAAAAATCTGTCAAGAATCTCTTCAAAATGTGAAACAGCATGGATATAAACTTAAAGATATCATGATCTAAGCCATGGTCTTTTCAACTGCTTCCAATGCATCTGAAAGTTGTACAATGAATAAGGAAGATGGAAGAAAAACTGATGCCGTTGAATTGTGGTATTGGGTTTAATAGCCCACGAACT